TATCTATCTCATCTATTTAAAAACATATAAGTATGTTTATCAGCAGTCTGGTTACCATAGTACAGCCTCTGCCTAGTTTGGGATCAGACTTCCGTGTAGAGAAGTGTAAGATATATATTAACTATATCTTGCAGGCCATCCCTAAGAAACTATAAGAGCCAGACAATCTGGCGAGTAATCATTATGTACCTGCGACATAATCTATACACCTATACAAATGACAAAACTCTTTGTTACAAATTTATTTAATTACTACTGGCCATTCTGTTTCAAGGCTTCTAGTGCAAGTGAATTACATTACCAACCTATACAGTAAGCAGTTTTTGATTTTAGAACACAAACATAAAAATGTGGGAAACCATTTTAATTTAACTTAATTAATTAAGTCAAAAGGGTGTCCGCAGAAAATTTATGTTTTTATTTTGCGTTAAAAATGTTTTACATCAAAATACGGGCGGTCGTAGATCAGGTCAGATATATATAATAGATTAACTTAATTTTTTAAACATCTGACATCTACTGCGGGTCTGCTTGAATAAACCATAATTTCGGGTATTTTTGCAAAACTCCGGTATAAGCGCGGTTAAGGACACGGTAGATATGCGTTGACCCTTAGTGGCGACATACTTGATATCTTCATACGGCATTTTGTTTACTCAAAAATATATATTTTACCGAAAATATATATTTTTACCGAAATTGAGTCGTTGCGGCTCTCTACACAGAAAAAAAATTACGGGGGTTATTACCACTTTTATGTATTAGTTAGTGATGTGCCGGATAACCGTATCCGTATCCGTATCCGCGGATATCCAAGGGAGAAGAGAGATCCGTAACCGTATCCGTATCCGTGACTTTTTTGGCGGATCTTTCAATAAATATTACATAGATGAAATTCTATATAGGTGATTTTGTATTCACTGTAAAACTCTTAGGTATGTGTTTGTAACACTATAAACAGCAACTTTTTTCTGGACAACGTCAAAATAAAAAAAAATTGGTCCTCCATTCAAATGACCAATCAAATGTTGTTAGTTTGTATGGAGAAACAATTTTATTTCTTTCGTTTTCAGTGTTAGTCCAAAAGAAAAGTTTTTGTTTATAATGTTACTAATATGCACTTCAGAGGTTTTCAGTAAATTTAAAATAACCCTGAATAATGGTTATTAGGTAGCTATGAAAAACTATTGAATTCTGTTCAGATTACTTTTTATTTCTTAAAACAAATATTTGGCACCTTTGTATTGCAATCATTTATCGTACTACACTAAATCAACTAGGCAGGTCGTAGGTACTGAAAGAGCTATCTTTATAATGAGATCAATCAAACATCTTTGTATTAGCTTATTAAAATAATGAAATATTTAAATATCAACGGCAAAGCGTCAAGTGGCGACAACTATCAAGGTCACGGGCTCCGATTGAGTAAGAAACTTAAGATCCGTATCCGTATCCGTATCCGCGGATCTTGACACCAAATATCCGTATTCGGATCCGTATCCGCGGATATACTTTGTTAACGATCCGGCACATCACTAGTATTAGTGCATATACTACTGTGTGTATTGGCACCGTACGGTATAGTTCACTATTGTTCTGCGTGTACTAGCCTTGTGTGCAGGAGAGAAATAATAATTGAGGTCACTAAAATATTACTTTATTCTTACTGAGGAATTACAAAGGTACAAGTATCGGTAACGACAACTCAACAACTACTCACTGTGGTTCACATACATATGACATTCAGTACATCGCTTGTTATTGAATAATCAGAATTACGAGTACATGTCAGCATTAGCTGTTTGCTGCTTTTGTTTTAGTTCAAAACAGTTCTATTTTTATTACACAAACACGAATAGAGGGTTTGCACAACTTTTGACTAATTGAAAAGTGGATACACAGTGATTCTAATCTTAGCAACAACCCAATTGAATTTATTTTTTTAATGGATAGAAGTTTCCGGATATATTGGTTCAAAACATAAACATAAAAACAGGCTAATCTTGTCGTATGATTTGTCTAATCTCTAATTTCATGTTCAGTCGTTATCGATAGTCGAAAGAAACTTGTGTCTGAAATTGAAACTTCCTTAGCAGAGGTTTCAGATTAGGTTCGACTGAATCTAGTCTGAAACCTCAAATCTGTGTCTTTTTTGGGTTAAAATGGTTAACCCAAAAAAGACACAGATTTGAGGTTTCAGTTTTTTGGGTTAAAATGGTTAACCCAAAAAAGACACAGATTTGAGGTTTCAGACTAGATTCAGTCGAACCTAATCTGAAACCTCTGCTAAGGAAGTTTCAATTTCAGACACAAGTTTCTTTCGACTATCGATAACGACTGAACATGAAATTAGAGATTAGACAAATCATACGACAAGATTAGCCTGTTTTTATGTTTATGTTTTGAACCAATATATCCGGAAACTTCTATCCATTAAAAAAATAAATTCAATTGGGTTGTTGCTAAGATTAGAATCACTGTGTATCCACTTTTCAATTAGTCAAAAGTTGTGCAAACCCTCTATTCGTGTTTGTGTAATAAAAATAGAACTGTTTTGAACTAAAACAAAAGCAGCAAACAGCTAATGCTGACATGTACTCGTAATTCTGATTATTCAATAACAAGCGATGTACTGAATGTCATATGTATGTGAACCACAGTGAGTAGTTGTTGAGTTGTCGTTACCGATACTTGTACCTTTGTAATTCCTCAGTAAGAATAAAGTAATATTTTAGTGACCTCAATTATTATTTCTCTCCTGCACACAAGGCTAGTACACGCAGAACAATAGTGAACTATACCGTACGGTGCCAATACACACAGTAGTATATGCACTAATACTAGTGATGTGCCGGATCGTTAACAAAGTATATCCGCGGATACGGATCCGAATACGGATATTTGGTGTCAAGATCCGCGGATACGGATACGGATACGGATCTTAAGTTTCTTACTCAATCGGAGCCCGTGACCTTGATAGTTGTCGCCACTTGACGCTTTGCCGTTGATATTTAAATATTTCATTATTTTAATAAGCTAATACAAAGATGTTTGATTGATCTCATTATAAAGATAGCTCTTTCAGTACCTACGACCTGCCTAGTTGATTTAGTGTAGTACGATAAATGATTGCAATACAAAGGTGCCAAATATTTGTTTTAAGAAATAAAAAGTAATCTGAACAGAATTCAATAGTTTTTCATAGCTACCTAATAACCATTATTCAGGGTTATTTTAAATTTACTGAAAACCTCTGAAGTGCATATTAGTAACATTATAAACAAAAACTTTTCTTTTGGACTAACACTGAAAACGAAAGAAATAAAATTGTTTCTCCATACAAACTAACAACATTTGATTGGTCATTTGAATGGAGGACCAATTTTTTTTTATTTTGACGTTGTCCAGAAAAAAGTTGCTGTTTATAGTGTTACAAACACATACCTAAGAGTTTTACAGTGAATACAAAATCACCTATATAGAATTTCATCTATGTAATATTTATTGAAAGATCCGCCAAAAAAGTCACGGATACGGATACGGTTACGGATCTCTCTTCTCCCTTGGATATCCGCGGATACGGATACGGATACGGTTATCCGGCACATCACTAACTAATACATAAAAGTGGTAATAACCCCCGTAATTTTTTTTCTGTGTAGAGAGCCGCAACGACTCAATTTCGGTAAAAATATATATTTTCGGTAAAATATATATTTTTGAGTAAACAAAATGCCGTATGAAGATATCAAGTATGTCGCCACTAAGGGTCAACGCATATCTACCGTGTCCTTAACCGCGCTTATACCGGAGTTTTGCAAAAATACCCGAAATTATGGTTTATTCAAGCAGACCCGCAGTAGATGTCAGATGTTTAAAAAATTAAGTTAATCTATTATATATATCTGACCTGATCTACGACCGCCCGTATTTTGATGTAAAACATTTTTAACGCAAAATAAAAACATAAATTTTCTGCGGACACCCTTTTGACTTAATTAATTAAGTTAAATTAAAATGGTTTCCCACATTTTTATGTTTGTGTTCTAAAATCAAAAACTGCTTACTGTATAGGTTGGTAATGTAATTCACTTGCACTAGAAGCCTTGAAACAGAATGGCCAGTAGTAATTAAATAAATTTGTAACAAAGAGTTTTGTCATTTGTATAGGTGTATAGATTATGTCGCAGGTACATAATGATTACTCGCCAGATTGTCTGGCTCTTATAGTTTCTTAGGGATGGCCTGCAAGATATAGTTAATATATATCTTACACTTCTCTACACGGAAGTCTGATCCCAAACTAGGCAGAGGCTGTACTATGGTAACCAGACTGCTGATAAACATACTTATATGTTTTTAAATAGATGAGATAGATAAATTACACCCAGACACATAACTAATTACCGTGCTCATCACACAATATTTGTCCTGGGTGGGAATTGAACCCATGACCTCCGATTTAGCAGTCAAAGTCACTAACCACTGGCCAACAGGCCTGTAATAAGCAATCTGATTTCAATTGTAAACTCTTTATGACTAATCTTTTGAAAATGTTCGGTCTATAATACTTAGATAATACTTATAAAAGTCTAGAAATAATATGCAAATACTTGTAAAATAAACCTCCTAGTATAGAATATTTGTTGAATAGTCTTTCTTTCGGCACATAACAACTGTTTCATTTTAAGTAAAACAGTTCCATTGTAAATAGACAAACCCTTTTATATGTTTGATATTAATTTTATTCCTAATAATAATATTGAGCTTCAGATTGGACGCTTTAATTCTTCATTATACCCATACATACTTACATGTACATTTAACTAGCTAGCAGGTTAGGATGGTATATAATCAACAACCTCTTTAGATTTTTTAAACAAAGTTCAGTTTTCTAAGGTTGGTTTACTATAATCGTCACTAGGAAAATGGTTTCCACCGGTTTACCTGGTACCAGAAACAATAATAATATATAAAGAAAAGAACCCTAGATAAAAACTTTAAGGGTTGTGGAATGTCCAGCCAGGTTTTAAGATGACTTCTATACAAGACCATGACTTGGGTATAAAGAAACTGTCGTCCTTTGATGGTGGACAGTTCTTGCGAGCGAAGTATTCCATGGAGTACAAACACATCAGAAGCCCTGAAATATAAAAAAGAAATGAAAGATTTTCTTTAACATACTTTTACACCCAACGTTAACATCTATAGATTGTGGTGATTTAAAAACACAATAAATAAATTTGTACAACATAGATAGGTACCAAGTATGCTTTAAACGTAGTAGATATCTAGATAGATATCTATCTAGATATCTATACGTAGAGGAATAAAGTACCTACTTAAACAAACACGGTTTACTTGCGTTACCTGCGGCAATGACAGTTGAGTATTGAAGTAAAATATTGAATTAAAGGCATGCATCTTTTAAAGGGTGGCCTACCTAACCTACCCATACTCTATCTTACGTGGTCGCCATTCCAGAACTTTTTAGCCCCATCGGCCGTGTTTTCTGGTTGGTTGGTTGGTGGTGGACCTTGGTTTGTCTCCCCTGATTCGATTACGTAGAAAAACTCCGAGCATTGCCCTCTTCATTACTCTTTGGGTGGCTTTGAGCCTTCTTATAAGGCACATTGTAAGCGACCACGTCTCTCTGCCATAAGTCATCAATGGTAGTACACCGTGGTTAAAAACTTTTGTCTTGAGACAGTGCGGTAGGTAATTGGGACGAGACACTGTCACGTAAACTTCCAAAACGCTGCCCAGCCAAGTTGGATTGACGATTGATCTCTTTTTCAAAGTTGGACCTACCTAGCTGGATGATCGGCCTGCAGGTATCGTCAACAACTTCCTGGGTAGAGTCTGCAATTTTTGACGAGGACGTTTGACCTAATTTTCGTCTTATCTATATTTATTTTAAAACCCTCTCGTTTAGAGTCCAGACTACTATCAAGCATTGTGCTAAGGTCATCAGCAAATCAAATGTTGGTAATATACTCGCTATTAATGTTGGTGGCGTGTCAATTGTTTTATTGTGCCTGTTTATAATCAGTTTAGTTCTCTTAAGTATTTTAGTTTCTTCCCATAAATAATTATAAATTATAATATTGTCATATAATATGTGTTTATGTAAGTGATAACCTCTGCAAATTTATTATAAATAATATTTAGATGTTTTACTGTCGAATTTTACTGCAGTGACTTACACTTCAATAGCTTTTATACAGAACTTGAGCAAAACTAGTTTAAAGATTAACGATTAATCTCTCAAATTACGAAAATAACTTTAAAAGAGTGATAGGAACACGAATCAAGATTCTAATTGTTTGGAAATTGTTCTACTTAAGGTACATTTCCCCCTTTGTTGGAATTTCTCAAGTGGTTAAAATGTCTCTCTACATTTAAAGGCCTGCTCCTTGTCGGTGGGAGTTGTTAGAATACTTTTCGAATTTAATAAAGGTTATTTTTAAACCTGAATGTGGTCGAATTAAGGTAAATTTTAGTTAAACTACTAAAATTTACCTTAATTCGACCACATTCAGGTTATTGAAGTTAAAAGGTTTCTCACTATAGTATCACTCGAAATGATTTCACAATACTTGTTTGATACCTCTTATAGATACTTTCATGCAAGTGATAATAAAAAGATAAAACTTTTTCATAGCTTTTTTGCAAAAATAGTCAAAAATGCTTACTCAATACTTCTTATGTTTATTCAGAATAGATTGGGATTTTTGTGTAGTTATTGTGTAGAATTCAAAAAAGTTAATAGCTCGCGTTGTTATAAAGTTATTGTAGCCTTGACACTAATGCCTTGACTACCTTGTCTTCCCTATGGAGGTGTGATAGAGTAACCATATTTTTATCAGCAGAAATAAAAATAACAACAATATGTTTCGTACATAACTGTTACCTGCTTCGTATTGATAAGTATAACTTTTACTTTCATTATTAATTTGTAATTTGGATGAAACGGACTAAAAAAATATATAATTACCATTTCCAATGAAAAATAAAAACCACATAAGTACATTGTACATATTAGGGTAACGGCGTCCACCATTCGCAGTAAGTGGTACCATCAATAACCCAATGACGCCGAACATTACCAGTATTACAGGATAGAAGAATCCCAATGATAATGCAAAGACTACTTCATGGGCCACCGCGGACACCTGGAATGAACAGCACTGTTTTATAATACGGTTTTTATATATAGGGACATAGGACTAGTCGCCTGATAGTAAGTGACTGCGTGTGAAATGTTTAGCCTTACAACTCATCACAAAATCTGGTGGAGAGAGATTGTTTGGGCTCCGGTAACCTCGCTAACTCAATGAAAAGCAATGACAGAACTACTTAAAACCAGTTTTCTACGAGGCCTTCGGTCGAGCCTGCCCCATATAGGTCTTGAAGTAAGACTCTCCTACGATAAATTTATACAGGTTTCAATCATAAGTACGGTAAAGGACGACTTTATAAATTCTGTTTTACATTTGTATTCCCACTCTTTGCTTATTTTGTATATTGTGTATAGTGGCGATTAAGTGAAACATTACCTTAATTTTAGCTACTAATTTAACCTTAGATATTACTATGTATGAATGATAAATGTTAGCAGTTCATGAAAATTTTCTTTAAAATAGGGCAAAATTATTACATTGCTGATATCTATTTTTTTATTAGCTATCTATTTTTAATCTAGAAAAATGTACTCTAAAGAAAATACAATGATATAAATATGGGTTGTAAATAATTAAATGTACGGTCGCGGGCATAAGTCCAGTAGCACTTTTATGAAGTTACAACATTAAGTTGAGGGTAGATTTGAAACAGTAAGAATTTACTGGCTGTAAAAAATTTGTTATAACGTCGGTTGGTAAAATCAGTTATTGCTACTGGTGGTATTTATATTGAATATATGTATTAATAAAATAAGCAAATTTTGGTAAAAATGCAAGTAAATATTAGTATTGAAGCCGAGACTAACATTGCACTGTGCGCGGGCGGGGAGGACCGCCGCCACAGCAGGAGCAACACAACGAGGCACTCCGCAGACCGCGTTGCGGTGCGGTCTGCCCCCAGCACACTGTGGGGAACCGCGCGTAAGTCGCCGCCTCTGTCGTTTATTGCTCGGAGCTGGACCTCCCAAGGTGTCGCCTGGAGTCTCACCAGGCTAGGGCTGATCACCAGGGTGCATGTAGACCGAAACGGTCCCCCACACAACTACCAACAACGCCAAGGTAATCCCATGACCTACCCCTATTTAGGGGTAGCAGTAGACACCGCTGGCAGGGGGCTGAAGCCCCAAACCAGCCACACGACCCCTGTGTGTAGACCTGAGACTGTACGGATTTATGTACTGTTGGTAATACCTTGAAATAAACCTTCAATTGTATTTACTGTTGTCGTTATTTTCTACCGTCGGACCGTACAGATCTATGTACGACACTTAGTAAGAACTTTGAATACATTCTGATTGTATTGACTATTGTTCTCATTTACTACCATCGAACTGTACGGATTCTGATCTATTTCTATCTCATTATGGGAAAATTTGGTAAGTGAATAAGACGGATGACTGTGAGAGATATCTATTGACAAAACATTGCTGTCAAGATTGACAGTATGGTGACATTAATTCATATAATATATCGACGCAACTACAAACTACCTCACTTGATAAATATAATTTGATTGATTAAAATTAGATTCTAATTGATTTTTATTGAAGTTTTAATAGTTACTTTAATTATAAAATAACTTAAAATTATAATAACCATTATTATTATTATATTAACCATTATTATTATTTCAAGGTATTTCTTAAAGAATATTCAAAATTTCAAAATATCAAGGTATGTTTTTTACTATTTGATTTACATAGGTCAGGACTGCTTTATAGTGACAGAGGGCATAATGAACACGGATCAGAAGATGCGTCCGTAAATATTTGTCGTAAGATCGGATCTGGAACATCTCAGATCGCTGTACTGTACCAATCTCTGAAGCAGAAAGCTATTCTTGCGCATACTGCTATACAGCACCAACAGGAAAACCAAGAGGTAGCGAGCTCCCTCGGCAAATTTAAGAGCACTGTTGAAGAAAAGCTGAGTACGCAAGAATGTACCTCCTTTGCTATATCGTAAAAAAAGGTGCAGATAAGTTTGTCCGTCCGAGCAATGTTAATACCCTTGCTATCTTCCTTAGTGACAAGACCAAAACTAGTGACCAAAACTAGTAGTCTCAGGTCCAAAAAATAATTTCACCGAAGGAAGTAAAACTGCACATAAGAGGCCTTAGAAAAGTGAGGAATGGATCGTTCTTATTACCTGTAACTATATACTTACGGTGCCGGCTAACATTAGAAAAGCGCTCATTAACTTCATAAACTGGACTTCTTGTCCGGTTAGAGACTTCACGCTGGTGACTAGATACTTCAACTGCCAGCAGTTCGCACACAAAGCTAAATATTACCGTGACACCAACCCAATCTGTAACCACTGTGGGGAGCTCGGTCATACCTTTAAGGAATGCAACAGATAACTTGCACTACCCACTTGTGCAACGTATAAGCGTTTTAAAAGGACAAGTAATCACCAAACTGGTGATGGAATTTGCCCAGCACGGATATTTAAGTTATTTTTGTATATATTACTAATCCATCGTTTCGATTGATGTCGATGATGAAGTAACCCTTAAGAGATGGTAAATGAGGATGCTGATTATACAACCAACACTCTGTCAAGATGATAATATCATAGTTTCTAAAGAGTATGAAACAATACCACACAACCATTACCGAATGAATACTTATATACTTTTTTTTTGTAAATCTGTACATATTATATGTAGAAAACACACAAACTCCGAAATAAACATTTGCAGTCGTACAAACATTTTTTCGGACCCTGGAATCGAGCCCCTGCATAGTAGTCGCATACGCTACCACTGCACCATCGTAGTCAACGCCAATCCATGAATTATACTCATGCCAAAAATAACTGGACGCGGCTACAAAGTATTTGCTTTAAAAAAGCTGTAAAGTTACTAGTAAGTATTACATACAATACGTAGTACGCCACTTTTTTCAGGTAGTTTAGACTTGAGTTCATAATTAGCAACATCCAAAATGGCAAACACAATAATAATTTATTTAAAATATTTCAATGGCTCTTTCAGACTTAATTGTCCTCAAAATGAAATTCATGTCACAGAAATTCAAATCCCTTATGCAAACCAACGTGGTCAAATACCTAAGTAAAAACATATTAATAATGAGTAGTATAGTAGTAGTAGTAGTAGTTGTAGTAGAAACAGGTTTTACAGCCGAAACCGACATCGAAACCGAAACTATCATTCTAATCTTTTAAAATTTCGGCGGTATACTGAAATCTAGTTTTTTAGCCCTTTATCTGCTTATACCTACTTACCACCTAAAACCACTGTAATAAGGTAGGCACACGGCATCAAATAAGAGAATAAGAGAATATTTATTTAGGTAATAAAAAAATACGTAGCTAGGTACTAGAAATTCACCTGTCTAAATTAACTAGGTACCTCACGCGATAGGCGGGAAAGGTCCGGCGGAAAAGAATAATTTGAACGGACTATACGCGTTTTAATAAAGTTAAGCAACTAAATTACAAGTAGTATAAGTTTTATGAATGATTAATAATGGTAAAATAGGGGTGCAAGATGTAATTCAGTAACAATTAAGTAAAATCTAAGGGTCGTATTACAAAATAATACTCAAAACTCCTGAAACACATGAGGTTAGTTTGCACCTTCTATCGCGCTAACTACTCGTACGCTCAAGTCATATTTTGAGAAATGTTCTGTAATATGGCTTAAGTAATATCTGAATATATCTGAATAGTCTGAACATAATCTCTTTTATGTGTCACTAATATATAAATAAAACTCAACAAAACGCAGCTCTATACCTAATAAATGCTTTTAAGGTAAAACAACTTTAGGTACAAGTAGAACGGGCACGCCGTCATTGCGGCGGTAAGACCCGTTATGGAGGATTGGCTCGAGAGGCGTCACGGGACCCTCTCATACCGATTGACGCAGGTGATCACTGGGAAGGGATGTTTCGGAGATCACCTGTGTCTGATCCGCAAGGAGCCAACGCCTGAGTGCCACCACTGCGATGGCCAGACCGTGGACACGGCTCTCCACACGCTGGCAGAGTGCCCGGCGTGGGTTGAGCAGAGGCGAGACCTCGTGGCGGCCATCGGAGTGGGAGTTCTCTCGCTCGATAGCCTGATTGCGGCTATCGTGCGGAGCGAGAGTGCGTGGAACTCTGCCGTCTCCTTCTGCGAGCAAGTTATGCTCGCGAAGGAGACGGCGGAGCGGGACCGGGAGAGGTTTAGAACTCTCCCGGCCCGCCAGGCCCGGGCACGGGCCAGGCAGCGCAGGCGACTCAGGCGCCGGAGGTCGCAGAACGACCTTCGTCCTCCATAAGCGCAGGCCTGGGGGTGACAGGTGAGGCCATCTGTCACCCTAGCAGAAGCAGGCCGGGGTGGCGGCGAGCGCGTTGCGAAGCGCGCTCGCTTCCAGGGAGCACAGGGAACATGGGGTTCCCACACGGGGCGGGGGTCGTCTACTCGTCTGTAGATGACCCGAGGTATGTCGGGGCACCAGGGCCTTCCTTTCTAGGGTATACCTGGTTCCCCGGCTATTAGTACCCGGCGAAGGCGTGCGGTTTTAGTCGGTTCGTGTCCGACATGCCACCGACAGGTGGTATCCGAGGGGATTTCCGCACGGAAAAAAAAAAAAAAAAAATAAAATAAAAAAAAAAAAAAAAAAAAGGTACAAGTAGAAACAAAACAAATGCAAAATTTTACGAATTTTAAGTGTCGGTGCGGCCGTTAGTTTCGGCCAATTTTGGCAGAAGTTAAGACAAGTACCAGTTTGACTGAGATTTGACCTTTTTTAATACTTGATAAATAAATGTTAATACTATTCTATAATTTTAAAATAAAAACAACACTATAAAAACATACAATGTGCCTTATAACAATGTTTCATTATTAAACAATTGCCGTTTCGAACGATCTTTTTGTTTCAGCAGTTTTTAATTTGCTGCGTAGTTAAGACGTATGTCTATGTATTTTTCAATTATAATTTTCATCAACGTAATCTTATGACTAAAATTCGATGGTTC